TTCTCCCTTGTGTAAAATAAAGAACACTAACCTAACTCACAGAATTGTTGTGAGGTTTCTACAAATGATTGTAAAAATATTTTGTAGAATTTGAAGTGCTATGTAAATGCTCTGTGTAACTTTAACAATGACTTAATAAAAGTAATAAACCTAAGACGATACAGCAGTGGGTATAAAATACTTTGTGTGTGGAAAGTGCTTTATAAGTCATGTCAAGGAAAGCATTACTTTGAATAATAAAGATTGTATGTGATCACATTCACTCTTGTTTTCTTTCTGTTATGTGTCTTGGGGAGCTTAGAGCACAAGGTGGCCCTCATCACTACTAGTAAGGTAATAATGCTTGTCCATAGCTGCCTCACAGACTGTGCATATTTTCAGAATTGTGTGTATGACACTGAACTTTTTTGCAAAGGTGAATTTAGTGGGCCAGATTAGAAACTTAGAGGTTCTGAGTTCTGATCCTGGCTCTGCTGCTTCTATTCATGTGAACCACAGCGAACAGCTTAACCCCTTCCCCTCCTGATGCCTCAGTTTCCCCATTAATGATTTCCTTAATAAAAGAAGCATAAAACTGTAACATTTCACCTCGTGACAGAATAATATAGGATATATAATTACAAATGGCTAAAAATCACCATGTATGGTGCTGTGCAGACAGCCCTAGATGTGGAGTCAGAAGACTTGATTTCAGGACCTGGCCCTGCCTCTTAAACTGCCAACTCTTGTGACTTTGGGAAAGTCATTTAATCTTTCTGGGCCTTGGTTCATTTGTAAAATTAGAGGGTTGGAGAATAGGACCTCTAAGGTCCCAGTTCTAAATCTGTGATCCTGTAAGGAATATTGTCTCTTCCCCTCTTTGTAGGAGTCAGTCTCACTCACCCTTGCCTTCGGTGGGATGGGGATGAGAAGAAGGTTGTCTGGGGACAACTTCTGGATTTCTTTAGAGTATTTTTTTTACAACGTCCCTAGTGTGGAAGACCACAGTTAATTCTAGGACTGTGTTTGGGTGGGGTTCAGGCCTATTCTAGGATGGACTCCTAAATAGACTAGAAACTTCAGGAAACCACTAGAGCTGATAGTGTCTCTAAGGACCTTTGGAGTAGAAATTACTTGGAATCCAGGCCAGACTTTCCAAGGTTGCTCTCAACTAAAACTCCTCCCTCCCCTATAATCTACCCGGCATAGACTGAACCTGCCCTGGGCACCAGGACCCATAGGGTTAGTGTTAACACATGTAGTAAAACTTGATTTTAGGTTGGATTTTATGAAATAACAGTATGAAGTATTAATGATAATTGAAATAGTAGACTATTTTATGTATATGTCTGATGGATCTCCTGAATTTCGGAGCAAGGAGTGTATCTGTGCCTTTGGCCCAAACCTGAAGACTGATTTAGAGGGATTCTTCAGCTGTCTAGTTACTACCATCTTAGAGACATTTATTTTTTCTAAATTTGGCCTGGTTAACCTCCCAAAGGTATGAGTACAAACTGTCCTCAGGTAAACTATATAAAAGGGAAAAAATCAAAAGCTTGTTTTCCTTTCCAGGTGGCCCAATAAGTACTTGCTGAATTGACTTGAAACAGACCCAGTAAAAAAAACATGGCAACATCTGATTGAGAGCAAAGATTCCATCCATTCACTAGAGTGATCCTGGCTGGCCTACTTTTAATATTTGAAAACTTCCCAAGCCATCTTGGCTAGAATTCTCCTCATACTGTAGACCCAAGACTCTTTACAGGGAACTGGATGTGATCCACTGTAGTGGCAAACCTTGTTATTTCCTAGAAAATCCAGTCTTCTGTGGGCTTCCACAAGGCTGTGTGTGGTTCGGGTCACCACACCAGCCTGAATTCTAGAGAAAAGGAGAAAAATATGCAGACCCAGAGGAGGCTTCAGGGAATGCCCACTGGATGGCCGTGCAGACAACACCCTAGGCATTCAAAGGGTGATAATGTCTGGTCCTCCTTTCTGGGCATATATTTCCCCAGAGAATGATTACAGTGGAATAGACAACTTGGACCTGTGACTTCACTGGTATGGAGTATTCCCAAGCGAGGAAACTCCTCTGCTCAAGCAAGTTGGCACTTTCTTTTCAAGTTGGAGTCTTAGTTGCCTTGAGCACTGAGAGGCTTTTAATTGACTTTGCCTGGGGGGTGTCACAGCCAGGATGTGTCAGTGGTGGGACTCAATCCAGCCTGATCTGACTGGCTTCAAGGCCTGTTCTCTGTCGACTATAGCATGCTGCCTCTCTATGGTAGGATGAAAGGAAAAAAATGAACTTTAAATCAGAAAAAAAAAGTAGATAAAATTTGTCTAGGGTAGTGTCTTTAATCTACTGTAGGGAGATAACCCTGGGGACTCTAAATATTCACTAGTTGTGTACCTGTGGCCTAAGCTGTATTTTTTCAGAACATCCCCCTGCCTTTTAATGAATGGAATAGTCCACAAGAAAAAAAAAGTTGTTTACCTAGCTGAGCAAATTTGTCTATGGTCCAAAATTCCAGTGATAGTTGAGAAGACTTAAAACGGTTTTGTTTCTCCCTCCGTTATTTCATTGTATCACTCATCTTCTTCCATTGAAAGTCCTCTAAAACCTTTATTCTCTTTTTGTAGGTAGCAGTATGACTAAATATACTCAGAAACTAGAAGAGATTAAAAAAAGTAAGTATCATTGAAGATCTGGGGAAACTCAGGTTTTTTAGTTGCCATTTACTTTTGAATCCTTACTACCATGGTTCTGTGAATATTCACATATCCAGGGCTTATTGTTAGGTTTGGGGTCTAGGAAATGAGAGTGGGGGGAGGATCTGTGTGTCTGAGGGAGGGAGAGAGAGAAAGGAGAAAGAGCCTAAGACATATGTAGGTATAGAGACTGAAAGAGATACACAAATAGACAAACTAAATTATGGAAACCGAGAGAGAGAGAGAAAGGAGGTCAGGGGGAGAGAGGGAAAGAGATAAAAAATTAGAGAGAAAGAGTAGGTGATGGGGAGGGAGAGAGAGAGGGAAGGGGGGAGAGAAAAGAGACAGATTGGGAATCAGAGGTGCCTGGCAGGGACCCCAGCACCTTGGAAGCTGTTGCAGGGACAAGGGAGCGTGGAGACTTTGTCCATTATGGCCTCTGTGTTACAGTCACTGCTTAATGACCAAGCCACACCTACTAGGTTATTTTGAATCAAACATCAGCCTGTCAAACTGGGGCCTGCCAGC